TTCCCAGTCCAAAACCAGGTTTGGCCTCTGGTGATAGTGTCATGCTGGCAGAGTCCCAGGGGGCACAGGGCCATCATGCAGGAAGAGACAGGGAGTATGTGCTTCTGTCTTTGTCTATGAGGTGTCTTATAAAGCTGGCAGGATTCAGTCATGGGGGCTCCATCTTAACCACTCGATCCAACCCAGCCACCTCCCAACACCGTGATTCCCAGAATTCTACCTTAAATTCTCTTTATCCCAGGGGCCAGAGCTGTGGTTCAGCAGGTTAAGCCATCACCTGCAGTGCCAGGATCTTTTTTTTTTTTTTAAGATTTATTTATTTGAAAGTCAGAATTACAGAGAGAGAAGGAGAAGCAGAGACAGAGACAGAGATAGAGAGAGAGGTCTTCCTTTTGCCGTTGGTTCACCCTCCAATGGCCGCCACGGCCGGCACGCTGCGGCTGGCACACCGCGCTGATCCAATGGCAGGAGCCAGGTACTTATCCTGGTCTCCCATGGGGTGCAGGGTCCAAGGACTTGGGCCATCCTCCACTGCACTCCTGGGCCACAGCAGAGAGCTGACCTGGAAGAGGGGCAACCAGGACAGAATCTGGCGCCCCAACCGGGACTATAACCCGGTGTGCCGGCGCCGCTAGGTGGAGGATTAGCCTAGTGAACTGGGGCGCTGGTTTGCATCCTTCTTCAGACATCTTAGCAACTAGAATCTCCAGCTTAGAAAGCTTGTCATGTGTGCTTAAACCATCCTTCCATTTGTATACCATCCTCATCTCCCTCTGCTCTCAAAACAGATTTGACATTAAAATCTAAACACTTGTAAATGACAAAATGTAATCATAGTTGACATTTAAACACAAAACAAGAAAGATACCACAGGATTATTAGCCAGATAAAGTACTCCAATAGAATAAGATAAAAAGCAACCAATAAAACAGGCAGTCCAAAGAAATTGTGTAGGTGTTTGATGAGAGTGAACCTCACTAGTAATGAGGGAAATGCAAAGAAAATAAAAATTAGATTTTATTTTGCCCATAGACAAAATTAATATCAGAGGCCGGCGCCGCGGCTCACTAGGCTAATCCTCCGCCTGCGGCACCAGCACACCGGGTTCTAGTCCCGGTCAGAGCACCAGATTCTGTCCCGGCTGCTCCTCTTCCAGTCCAGCTCTCTGCTGTGGCCCAGGAGGGCAGTGGAGGATGGCCCAAGTGCTTGGGCCCTGCACCCACATGGGAGACCAGGAGAAGCACCTGGCTCCTGCCTTCGGATCAGTATGGTGCACCGGCCGCAGCGCACCGCCGGAAAGGCCATTGCGGGGTGAACCAACGTAAAAGGAAGACCTTTCTCTCTGTCTCTCTCTCTGTCTACTCTGCCTGTCAAAAAAAAAAAAAAAATTCACTATCAGAGAGATTAGTAATAGCAAGTGTTGGCTAGAGTTGGTGAAGATTGGTAAAAGTTTTTGGAGGGCTATTTAGCAGTTATCACAATCTTAATATGTATATCTTTGACCCAGAATATTTCTAGGTAGTCTGTTTCCTAGAGAAATTTGCAGTTTGAAAAACGAGTAGCACACAATAATGTAGATGTCATTTGTTTTTAAAATAGCATTCTATTTGTACTTGAGGATATTAAGTAAATAGATAGGAAAGGGTCTGGAAAGCAGTCAGCCAAATGTAGAATTCAGTCAGTGGACTTTCCCTGTTTCCTTGGATTTGTTGGCATTTCTAACAGCACTGTAGGAATGATTTGCTCCCATTTCCTAGTGTGGTATACACCAGCTTCAAGTTCTAACATGCAGAAATACCTTAACAGGAGTAAAATAGCTCTACTTCTCGCTCCTTCAGGGTTGATCTGATTGTTCCTTCATCTTTCTCAGTTTGAAATTGTCCCTGAAGATGACCCCCAGAATGCCATCATCGGTCCTTCTGCAGATGCTTGTCATGCAGAACTGCTCCAGACCATAAGTGCTACTCTGTAAGTTGACCAGCAGCTTGAAGACGAGCTAAAAGGATCACTGTCGGTAGGGTGAGACCTTTTCCCTTGCCTTTAGTGAGTGGAGAGCCCTTGTTTTGTAGAGACCACGTGCATCCTTCTTCACAGAGCTTAGCAACTAGAGTCTCCAGCTTAGAAAGCTTGTGTGTGCTCATACCATCCTCATCTCCCTCTGTGCTCTCAAACTAAAATTCTCCCTCTTTTATTTAGGGGGAAACTAATGCCTACACTGCTTCCATCTGGAGCTGACTTTTTTGGGTTTTCTCATCCAACCATCCACAACCTGATCCAGAGTTGTCCAGGAGCTCGAAAATGTATCAAGTAAGTGTGGTGAAGACCATTTCCCTTGAGAGAAACTCAGTGATCAGCAGAGCAGGGACCTGACACTGGCAGTACTCCATTGTTCATTCATGTGTATTGAGCTTCTGTGTCCAAGGCATGCTTGCTTCTCTACCGTTGTTCTTGATAGTAACCCCCTTAGCCTCCTGGACAGGGAAGCAGGAATCACAACCTCACTGTACTGAGTAATTATGACAGGTTGGGTAGCCCTTTTCTGAATGAAATGCTTGAGCCCACAGTGTTTCAGATTTCATATTTTTTTGGATTTGGGAATATTTGTGTATTTATCATGAGGTAACTTGGGGATGGGACCCAGGCCAAAACATGAAATTCAATTATGTTTCATATATGCCTTATCTACATAGCTCAAAGATAATTTTTATAGAATATTTTTATCTGTGTTTTGAGTGCAGTTCACCACATGAAGTCAAGTGTGGAATTTTCTAGTTGTGGTGCCATATTGATGCTTAGTAAGTTTTGGATTTTGGAGCATTTTGGATTTTGGATTATCAGATTGGGAATACTCAACCTTTATAATCTTCTGTGTATATCATGACAGCAAAAGGGTTGAGAAGTATAGCAAAATAATGTGTCACTACCGAGGCCTACCTATTTTCTTTTAGTTTTTATGTTTGTAGCTAATATTTTTAGGTATATATGGGAAGAAAAGGTTATAAGGGCTATCAGACAACTGAGTAATCATTAAAGAATGATTCCCTTTGATCATACAGTTACCAGTGGGTGAAATTTGATGTGTGCAAACCTGGAGATGAGCAACTACCACTGGGGCTGCCAGAGAACAATGCAGCTATGAGCTTTGAAGCCTTTCAGAGACAGATGTTTGATGAAGATCATAATGATCCCGTTCTGCCAGGTATCTTAACTTTACCTTTCTGCTTTGAAAATTGACCATCTCCCACTCTTCACACATGGCTGAATACCTTAACTCTGGGCAATAAGTGATACAAGCTTTCACTGATCCAGTTGTGGATGGGTGCGGAGTCTGAGAGGACCTTATCCTACCAGCTTCTCAGATTACTCACAGAAGTCACAGTGAGTGCCTGTCATTATAGCAAGGCAGGGTACCCAAGAAACTAGGGTGTCTCACCATAACCTAAGCGGAGAATGGAGTTTCAAATGAAGTCACAGGGCATAGGTAGTAGATTTGGCCCTGCCCATGTTCCATGGATTCCCTCTCACATATGGGTGCAGTGGTCATGGGTTGTCAGTGGCGTCATAAAGGGTAATGTAGCAGGCAAGTTGTTTAGTCAATTTCAGCCACAGTTTTCTTTTAGGAGTATCTGCCTTCCCTTACCAAACGTGGGCATAGTTGGCCTGGCAGGTGCACATGTGTTAAGGAACTGAAAGGACATACGGGTCTGACTAGAACAGAACTGTCTCCTGCAAGTCCTAGACAGCAGTGGAACTTAAGTAATTGTTTTTTCCAGGAACCTTGGACCTCCCAGAGCTTCAGCCTGCAGTCTTTGTTTCTCCTTACCAGCCCGAGTTCCTGACACCCGAGTCCTTGGTAGATGCACAGCTGCAGGACTTGAATTCTCCACCACACTGCAGCCCAATTCCATCTTCAGACTGAACGAGAAGGGACAAGATATACATCATTTTCATCATGGTGGATCTTTTCAGTTAACTAAAACTTACAATATATGGAAGAAAGCGGTTAATTCAGGAGATATTTCTTCGTGGAGTTCCCGTGGTGACTGTGGACCCTGGGAAAATCTAAAGCTGCTTTATTTTTAGTAATAAATTTCTCTTGACAACTCTGCTTATTTTCATCTTAAAATCAGGATATAATCTTTTTGGCTTAGCTCTGCCTAGAGTAAACCTTACTCCTTTATAAATTAGAGTGAGAGAATCATCATGGTCCATTCGGGCAGCTATTAAAAAATACCATAGTTCAGTGGCTTATAAACAATAGAAATTTATTTTTCACAGTTCCAGAGGCCAGAAGTCCAGGTTCAGTGTGCCAGCAGACTGAGTGGTCAGGGCTTCCTGCTTCGTAGACAGCTGCCTTCTTGCTGTTAACATCACAGGGTGGAGGGGGAGAGGGAGCTCTCTGGGGTCACTTTTATAAAGAACACTAATCCTACTCATGAGGGCTCTGCCCCTGAGACCTAGTCACCTCTCACAGCTCCCACCTCCAGATATCCTCACGCTGGGGGTATTTAACTTAGGAGTCGTTGAGGGGGTAGAAACGGAGTCTGTAGCAACTACAGACTCAGGAAGGAGATAATAAGATTCTGACAACCTTCTGCTGATTCTGATCCCAGTTCAAAAGTATCAATTCCCCCAGCCCCTCAGCCTAAGCTGCTGCTTTATTTTCCTGAGGGTATCATGAAAATCAAATCCTTTAGCTCAAGCTGGAAAGTCCCGCCCAAGACACACGGTTCATCTTTTTCCTCAGCTTGCACACCCTTCAAGGGGATCTAGGTCCCTTTAACAATTCATACGTCCCCTCGGTACCCTACTGGAGAATGCGCTTTCAGCTCAGCACACTGAAATTGGCTGATGATACAAATCCAGACGTAATTGGAGATTAACTCCCATCCTCCATAACAGACTCAGCTATATTTCATTAGCCACGGAGTTACTGTTGAATTTTTTGGACCCTGCTTATAGCATTAAGGTGGAGGTGTATTGCCTCACCTATTCTCAAGTCATTGTAACTCCACACTACCTTACTGGATGCCTTAGGTCCCCAGAAACAAGAGACGCAGGGTTGGCTGGAATAACAGGAGACAAAAAAAAAAAAAAAAAAAAGTTCAAGAATGGGGACAGGGTAGTGAGAATGAAATGGTTGATGTGCACACACTGGTAAGAATAGCATCTTAACAGTGAGAAATCCAGCCAACAGAGGGAAAGGATCGTAGCAGTGTTGGAGCACAATGCATTGGCCGCAATGAACTGCTGGCATTGCTTTTATGACTTAATTATAATCTTTTTATATGCTTGTATAAATCTTACAGTGTAAAAGAAAAACAATAAAGTTGGGCTAAAAGCCAACCGAGGGTGGGAAGGGGATTATGCAAAGCTGTGAATGTTTTAGTATTTTAACTGTGTTCCCTACATCAGTTGCTTGAGCAGATTGGCACTCACACAGAAATAAGTGCTTTTATCATATAACAAATATCTCCCATCTTATCACGACTTTAGTAAAACACGTATTAAAAGAAAGCCTCATGTAGATGTTAAATTTTTTAATAAATTGGTGTAAGTTTCCTCAAGTTGTTTTTCAGACTACAAATCTCATTAGTTATTCATAAACTTAAGGAGTCAAGACTTAACACCTTTTAAAACCAAGTAAGGGGCCAGCACTTTGGCATAATGGGTAAAGCCACCACCTGTAGTGCTGGTATCCCATATGGGTGCCAGTTCGTGTCCTGGCTGCTCCACTTCCAATTCAGCTCTCTGCTTGTGGCCTGGGAAAGCATAGATGGCCCAAGTCCTCGGGCTCCTGCATGCATATGGGAGGCCTGGAAGAAGCTCCTGGCTCCTGGCTTCGGCTCAGCACAGCTCCGGCCATTGCAGCCAATTGGGGAGTGAACCAGTGGCTAGAAGACCTCTTTGCCTCTGCCTCTCCTCTCTGTGTCTAACTCCAACTTTCAAATAAATAAATAAATCAGACCAGTGTCCTTTATCATCTTGGATCAGCTTTTTTTTTATTTTTTGACAGGCAGAGTGGACAGTGAGAGAGAGAGACAGAGAGAGAAAGGTCTTCCTTTGCCGTTGGATCACCCTCCAATGGCCGCCGCTGCAGCCGGCGCACCGCGCTGATCCGATGGCAGGAGCCAGGATCCAGGTGCTTTCTCCTGGTCTCCCATGGGGTGCAGGGCCCAAGCACCTGGGCCATCCTCCACTGCACTCCCTGGCCATAGCAGAGAGCTGGCCTGGAAGAGGGGCAACCGGGACAGAATCCGGCGCCCTAAATAAATAAATAAATCTTTTAAAAAAAAATAGGTAAGAGGCTGGCACTGTGGTGTAGCAGGTAAAGCCACCACTTGTAAGGCCTGCATCCCATATGGCCACCGGTTCGAGACTCGGCTGCTCCACTTCCGATCCAGCTCTCTGCTATGGCCTGGGAAAGCAGAAGATGGCCCAAGTCCTTGGGCCCCTGCACCAGGGTGGGAGACCCAGAAGAAACTCCTGGCTCCTGGCTTCAGATTGGCGTAGCTCCGGCCAGTGCAGCCAGTTGAGGAGTGAACCAACTGGATGGAAGACCCCTCTCTCTCTCTCTTTCTCTACCTCTCCTTCTCTCTCTGTGTAACTCTGACTTTCAAATAACTAAATAAATCTTAAAAAAAAAAAAATTAGAACATGTTGGAATGCATCAAATGGGAAACGGTTGAACGTCAATATAAACATCACATGCACACCTACACATGTATAGTGATACACAAAATGTGAAATATTTTTTCTGTGGGTCATGGTTTGTAAAAACCTGACAGTGCCTTAAGTAGAACTTTCATCTACCAAATTGAAAGGATTTTAATTTGACAGTTGATGTCAATGAGGGTGAGAGGAGAAAGGGACTTTGAATGTGTTGGCGGGAATGTACACTGTTAAATCTTTGGGAGGGTTAAGCTGTAGGTATCTTTAAATATATTTATTCATTAAGGCTGCTCAGAAATAACTGGATATGTATGGTATGATGTTTGCATGTAACAGTCTCACAATTTAATTGTGGAAATTTGTAACAAAAAACAAATGAAGAACCTACATATCCATCAATAGGAAACTGGTTAAATAAGGTGTGGGACTTCCACAAGCAAAACACTAAATCTATATTCTATTTACATAGGAAATTTTAGATAAAATAGACAAAAAGGTACAAAGCAAGATACTATGTAGTATAGAAAATTATGTAACCCAAAGCAATCGTCTTCCAAAAGTGTTTCTGGTTAATTTGTGGGTGATTTTTTTTACTTGTCTATATTTTTCTCTAGTGTCCAGCTCTGGTACAGTGATTATAAATTTCATTTTCAGTTCCAAGTTCTTTTCATTTGAAGAAATACACTGAATTCCCATAGTTCTTTACATTATTGAATCACTAAATAAATTTACACATGGCTTTGTTAATGTTACCCACTACCTAACTGAATTTTTTTCACACTGAGTATGCTTGGAGGGGTGGAGATTAAAAAAGCCTGGCTTAGAGTTCTTGACTACTTCTAGCTGCCTTCAAAGTGAACAGCCCACGGGTGGGGGTGAGTGGACAGAGGCATTTACTTTTTCTCAGGAGTCTGTTCCTAGCTTTGTGGTTCCCTGGGGCCAGATGGGTGCATGATCAAAGTGTGGGCCTTGAAAGTTCATTGCTAGGAAGTCTTCGGAGGAGCCAATGATCCTTGCAGAGTACATCACTTCCGGAGGGGGCACTGTTGTTCTGCCTTAGCACTGAAGAAGCTATTTCTGTGTTCAGAGATACACCAGAACCCCTTGGAAGATGTACAGAGAGAGCGATACTGCCTTAGTTATCATTTTCCACATTACAAGGGTGAAAGCAAACCACAGATTACAGTCTTTCATTTTTCCCATGCTTCAAAGACAAATATATTATTCATCACTAATTATAATACTTTTATTTCCAACTTCTTTTTGAAAAGATTTATTTATTTGAAAGAGAGAGATCAATCTTCTGTCTGCTGGTTCACTCCCCAAGTGGCCACAATGGCCAGAGCTGGGCCAGGAAGAAGCAAGAAGCCTGAAACTCCATTCAGGTCTCCGATGTGAGCGCAGGGGCTCAGGTGCTTATTTATTTGAAAGGCAGAGTTACAGAGGCAGAGAGATCTTCCATCCACTGGTTCACTCCCCAGATGGCTGCAAAGGCTGGAGCTGCGCCAATCCGAAGCCAGGAGCCAGGAGCTTCTTCTAGGTCTCCCATGCAGGTGCAGGGGTCCAAGGACTTGGGCCATCTTCTACTGCTTTCCCAGGCCATAGCAGAGAGCTGGATTGGAAGTGGAGCAGCCGGGTCTCGAACAGGTGCCCATATGGGATGCTGGCACTGCAGACGGTGCTTTACCCGCTATGGCACAATACTGGCCCCGTAGCTTTACTTTCAGCTTTACATTTTTCTTCCATCTGGATTACCCTTAAATCATTTACCTTTAAAGACTCAGAGGTTCCTATTTGACTGTAAACGACCCCTTTGCCTCAGTTATCTCTACTTCCATGTCGGCCTAAGCCCGTGATTCCACCACCCCTCCTGCTATTGGTAGCCTGAGTGCCTGCACTTGGCTCCTACCACCTGGTGCTGGCTCCTACCACCTGGTGCCTTCTCTGTTCCTTCAGACAGCCCCTCAGCACCTCCCAAAATGCCTGCACAGGTCTCTGGCTTGTTTGCTTTAAACATTCACGTTATCACTATTGAGACTAAAGGAACAGAATTGGTTTTGGATTGAAGAAAATCAAAAAAAAGTCTGCAATTATCTGAAAAACTGTCATACAGTAGGAAAATTTCACAGGAGGAAGATTTCAGTGCCACATTAGGAAAAAATGTTAGGAAGTTTAAAATGGAAACTTCATACAGAGATTCAGTAACAACTTGTCAGAGGTTCTGGAAAGAACACAAACACTAGCTGGCCTCTATGGCCTTTAAAAATCTCTTCCAACCCTGAGATTCCACACTTCTGGAAGAAAAGGGGCATAAATGTTAGATATTTCACTTCCAGTAATATAAGGGAAGTGAATGACATTGAGATCCAGTTTGTTTGTAGTTCAATACAGACTCTTAGACTAAGTAGGGGACAAAAGCATCTCAGATTGC